AACTCTTTCAACTCTGGCGTCCACCATGGCTTTGAGAAGGTTCCAGTATATGCTCTTGGAATTGGCTTTTCCGCAGCTGACGTGATTGCTTCTGTGAGTGCGCTAGCGATTGCATCGAGGCTAGCTTGTAGAAGAGAATTCTCTTCGGCCTCTTGGTTAGGGGTATCAATGGCAGGGTTCCACCATGGGTGGTGTGAGTTAAAGTCTCCCATGACTATTGTATTATTTCTAATATTGTAGTTTTGTAGATGTCTTTGGAACGTTCTTTTCTCGTGCTCTCCCTGGTCTTTCTGGTTGTAGATGTTGACTACTTGTATTGATTCTTCTCCTTCAGTAATGTCGATAAACTGGATATCGGTGTCGCTGGGTGACTCTCTTGAGAGGCTGACTGAGGGTTTGAAGGTTTTTGCGATATAGATAATTGTTCGAGGCCTTTTGCTGAGCAAGTGGTTTGGGAGAATTTGCGTAAATCTGCCATGTGCTGTTGAGGTGACAGCTGTGTAATTTTGTCTGTTTCGTGCATTGTGAAACCATGGTTCTTGGAAGAGTACAATGTCTGCTTTGACTTGGACAGCTATTTCTAGCGCGTTTTCCATGGCTTCTGATGTAGTGTTAGCATTAAAAGAGATGATTTTGATCGGGCTTTCTATCATTGGGATTCTGTGATAGCATCGGTGGTAGTGTGTACGCAGGCTCCGCCTTGAGCTTCGCACTGACGACATTTGTGTTGCGAGCTTTGGTGTTGTTGGGAGCAGAATTTACACTTTGGAGGGTTTTTACAGTATTTAAGAGGGTGCCCGTCTTCCTGGCATCTAGTACACTGCATTTTCCTCGACGTGTTCCGGAGGTGCTCAACTCTAGCGCTGATTCCTGCAAGGTTAAGTCTGTTTCTTTGTGCTCTGTTTGCTTGGCTTTCTTCCTTGAAAGCTACAACGATTGATCCTTGGTGTTGTAGGCCGCTATCTCGTTTATCTTTTGAGGTAAGCCAGTGAGGGATGTCGTCGATTTCTAGGTTGAGGCTCTTATTAAAAGTGAGGATCTCATCTTTGAGTTGTGCTAGGCCAGCGAGAGAGTTGAATTCTTTAATTGGGATGCCGTGGATTACTACTTGGTATTTGATAGCGTCGACTCTTGCCTCTTTGAATTAAAGTACCTTTTGGACAGCTCCGATTCTGTCAAGCAGGAATTTAGCATTGTATTCTTCTGCTGCTGTAAGGACAAGGTTGTTGTTTCGTGATCTGGAGACTGTGCTAATTGCGGGGCTGACATTAAAACGAGCTTTGAATTCCTTGTTAATAGTGTCTCTGAGGGTAATTGGTTGTAAGTCGCTAAATGGTTGAAGGTGGTCTTCGATGAGAATGAGACGCTGGGCTTTAATGGCTTTCTTTTTCTCAGTAGCAGCTTTTTTAAAAGCGTCTCTCTTCTTGTCCATGTTTGTTTTTTGAGGAGGAGCGTGGTTGAGTTGCCGGTCTATGAGGCCTTGAGTACTGTTGTCTTTGTCTGTGTCTGTGGTAGGTTTGTTGTTTGTGGTTACCGATGCGTAGCTTCTTTTAGGAAGGCGCCTTGCGATGTTCTCTAGGTTGTTGACTGAGTTGGTAAGGGTGGTAATTGTGTTTTTGAGTGGTTTTCCCTCGGTATAGTCCCGGAAGAGGTTGAGTAGGTCCATGAGAGCGAGTTTCTTGGGCTGGTTGTCTTCAAGCTCAATCGCCTTACACAGAAGGGACCTAGATGCTATAATTGCGTCATCGGAGGTTTCTGGGTGGGACATGAGGGCGTATTTTGAGGTTAAGTTCAAGGATTGGTTGCTTCTTTGTCTTTTGGCTTGAGGCTGGGTTTCTCTGATTCTTTGGGAGTTGTTTGGCGTGCTAATGTCTATAAAGCTAGGGTTGTTTTGGTTTCGTTGGATGTGGTTAACTGGGCTGGATGGCGCATAGCCTCCTAGGAGGTAGTCTTGGCCATTGGCGCTAGGTGTTTGGGGGATTGGAGTTCCCAGGGTGATAATTGGGTAAATTGGGCTGATGGGGAGCGTGGGCTCGTTGAAGAGTTGCATGGGTTCGTAGGCTGTTCCTTCTATGACTTCTTGTTGCCATTCCGGGTTTGACTGTGTTTGGGTCGCCATAGTAGCGGCGTTGGTGGTGTAGGGGTTGTGAGAGGTCAGAAAGAGGGGGTGAAAATTTTTCACGTGATCTTTTGACGGATATATCTCTGCCACCAGAGGGGCAGGCCTCCTGGGAGGAGAGGGGAGTGGTTGAAATTCTAGCTGCTATCGTTTGGTTGAGCGGGATTGATGGAATTCAAAGAAAGTTTTTCCTCGAAAAAGTTGTTGCTTTCCATGAGTTTTGGTGTAAAAGTGGCATTTTCCGAGTATAAGCTGGCTAGTACTGTACCTTGAAGTCTTGGTTTTTATTTGATGTGCACGGATCCCAGATTTTATCAGCTTGTGTATGTGTTATGTACAGTAGCTGTATTGCTTGGGTCTTCCCCACTAGAGCGTGGTGAACACTCTATTGCTGGCATGGGATTGAATAGGACTGCGCTTGCTCATGAGCAAGACTATATGCACAGACATTTGTAAGTAGGCTCCTAGCCCTCAAGTTGTCTTCCACCAAGACTTGCGGAATTTTTCATAGATGGTAGAGACAGCCATCGATACCGCTGCATCCGATACAGTCTCTTCTGAATCTCCCTTTTTCTTCAATCAACCTTTTCGAAACCATTATCACGGCCTAGAATATGTCGCCATGTAATGAAGAGCAGCGTCAGAAAAGATTCACGGGCGGCTTACAAACATCTTTAGTGACTCGTACACAACAATGGATTGAGAGAAAGATGTTCACTGGTAGCACAAAGCGATCTTTCTGCCCTATTGGCGACAAAAATAAGTCGGATGCTTCGAACTTGGCCGTTCAAGCCAAAACCAACGAAGCAGCTGCTCCACGAATCTTTGAACGCTCTCCTGAATTAGGGCTCTTTAGTAAGCAATCCTTTCCTTTTGCTCCTCTACTGACACTAAGTCAATTTAGGCGAGTTAGGAAATGATATCACCAACGGGTCCCCTTCTCAGGCACATTCTCAAAAAAACAATTTTTCCATCCTTGATGCTTCGATACCCAACATGCTGGCAAATACGATTGATTTGAAGTTATTAAGTACAAATGGAAACGGCTCCATTGTTGGTGCTCAAGGTAAGCCATCGAATTTAGCTTTTCTTATTCGAGGCTAACTTGAAAAGACAAAACGAGAGTTCCAACACTACTCCAACTTCCCACCGAACTTCTATTGATGATTTTTGATGCTCTACAAGAGATTGACGGTGCCCATAGATCAAAATATGGGTCATCTTCTACTGCTGCACCAGCTGCTTCAGCTTCGCTAATGTTAGGACTTACGTGTATTGAGCTCTATGACATTCACTGGAACCGCCATGGACCAGTTAACCTTGCGATACGTCCGTTCACTCTTAACGCCAGTCTCTGGGTACGAGTTATTAGGAATTTGGCCTTTCCGGCAGTTGGAATTTATTGTATGTTCCACGGGTGGGATAAGCCCAGCTGCTACATTCGTTTTGTTAATCGGGAGTCTTATGACACGGGTGAATATAAGAAACCACTAGTCGAATTTCTGGCTGAAAAGCAGAAGTATCCAAGAAGTTATTATACCATAAGTACAATGGCATCCGATACAGCATCGCTTGACCATTTTAATTAAGACTAGAGCGGGGAATTAGATGTGGTTTCTCTATCATTGGCCAGAAATACTCAGTGACTTCATTATAACTAGCTCCCTGGAGATTTCTGTTCCTTCACATGGACGAAATTGTGATATTTTGAACGTTCGACCACGGATAACATACATTGCCGCTGAATGCTCCAACAATACTCCGCAGGAATTTCGGGCCTGCTGTGTGAAATACAGTCGAGTCGTTAATACCACATACTTTCTTGGCTTAATTGCATATTTGTCAAATCACGCGATGACTTATATTATGCGGCCTCGTTAAAACGTAGACTGTTCTGTACACTACCACGCGTTGTCTTTTGGGAGAACCTTTCCAGAATTTGAACTTTTAGCGGAATGCGCTTTTATCGAGGTAGAAACACAAGAACACTACAAACCCAAACACCGTAAGTTTTGTATCAACATCCAGACCGCTTCTCTACTTTCGCGATTGCCACTCCAATTCCGGCACTCTTTAACCTTAAATCATCTTTGAGAGTTAAGATTTGAGAATTAACATGAGTCACCAACCACAATACACAAGTCACCAATCACGATGACTCAACCCCAACTGAGAGCTTGCCGGAGTCTCTATGCCAAATGATACAGGACAGGAATCTTAACTTCCTTTTACTCCATGGTTCCCCACAGAGATCCAAGCCGAGATCTGTGATTTTTCCATTTTGACCTTCAATATTTGGCTCACTTGACTGAAGTTCTATGGATTCCATCTGGATAAATTGAAAAGTCAGCAGTGCCCCTGTATGAGTGTGAGTATGGCAGTTGAATTGACTGTTCTCAGAAGGTCTGACTGGTGGATCTCACCGCATGGAAGTTGGTTCCATCCAATTGAATTCTGGCAAGCGCTCTGACAACAGAGTACCATAAGCAACTATATAGCCCTGGCTCCTGTCAAATGTAGTTGGCTTGTGGTTTGGTCTGGATTCAATCCTTTTTTCAGTCATCCTGGCACTCACTCTTAGCGCTCCATACGCCAGTCGACATTATCTAAGTCACCGGTGTAAGGAAGCCTTGAGTTGACTGAGGATACTGCATGTGGTCTAGACTTATAGAATGGTTGCTTCATTAGTTTCCAAAGCATTGCGAGTTGCAAACGGATTGGCTGTCTTGGATTGGCACGTGGATAGACATTTTGACAATATCTGAGGAGACAGTTTGTGTCAGGCCACCTGAAAAGAAACCCAGCAATTGCTATGTGTCGTTGCGCGAAGAAGACGGAGCACAGGACTGACCCGGATGAAAGGCAATTACTCTCTGGAGTAAAGGGGCTGAAGTAAAATTGATGAAAGCTGAGCTATAGCAAAATCCTAGAAGCATGCAACATTCTCTTGGCTTGATCAGTCATGCCTCACAATCTGTCGGTAAGTTGTAATTTAGTCAAGCATTTTCAAAGAAACCGTAAAAGAACCAGTGTTGTTATTTTGTTTGTGTAGTAGTTTGTGAAATTGACAGTCTGGGGGTTTCCTGAGTGGTCTCATACTCGTCTTGGAATTCACGAATTTGGTTTTCACTCCAGGATATCAAGACATGTGTGACCTCCGTACCTTAAGACTCCTCATATCTTAATCACACTCACCACAATGGCATGATTCACGAACTCAATCTTGAAATAGATTCGCAGAAGTATATAATGTACCACTACATGAAGCTTTTGTCGTCATATCTCACAAACAATACGACCATGCCTGAAAAAAAGCATTCAAAATACTCGATCAGCGCCAACCATCTCAAAATGACAAGAACACAATTATTTGCAAACTATCCAACCTCCAGGGCAACCTGCGGCAATTCCAGACTTCCAACCGTAAAAATAAGTGCTCCATTTCCCGACGATCAAGATGACGAAGAGGACGAAGATGACGAAGGTGACCAAGATCAAGAAGATCAAGAAGATCAAGAAAATCAACAAGTTCAAGAAGGTCAGAAATCGGTTTCTACCACTGAACCGGGACTAGAAGCTTCTCAAAGATGTTCCTATCAGCATCAAAAGGTCTTCCCTTTGATATCTCTCCCAACAGAACTCCTAGCCATGATATTGAAATGCCTCTCACCCAACGAATCTCTCCACTGCGGTTTAAGCTGTCGCCGCCTGTACAATATACACTTCAAAATCCACTCCAAAGTGCCTCTCGAACTCATAGACAACTTTGATGCTTCGGAGGTTGACCAAGGATCATCAGTATCCTCAGGGCAGAAAGATAGTTACCCCCATCTCTGGAGGAAGAGAGTTACCCTTGGTAAAATCACCATGGAAGAATTCCTTCAAAAACAACGAGATGACGTTCTATCGAAGCCCCTTCTCGCGCCGCCAGTTCATGCACTATTGCCGAAACAAAAGATCGAAGCCTCGATCGCTCAGACATGGGGGTTTGTTCGTGTTAGCGAGGAGATAGTAAGTGGGGTTCGGACTGTGAAAAGAGAAGTGAAGATATTGAAGGATCACATGAAACACTATTACGCTGGGGGACATCCACCTAATATGCGGCAGATGCCAAAATGTGGATATGTCCTCTTCAAGCCAAAATCACAATGGTGTTCACGCTGTGAGCAGAACCAGAACACTCAATTTTGGGAGTGGAAGGAGAGTGATGGAAATGGAAATATTGTTTCATTCATTTGTCGTGTCCAGTAGAGCCGTACCGTGTTAGAACTGAAGTAGATATTTGATGATTGGTTATGGATGATCTTTTTGTAAGAATGGTTCATAGAGAGAGCATATTAAATATACTACCTTTTACAATATTTCAAGGTCACATCTTTCTCGAAGAATTGATGAATGTGGAATAATCATCGTAGTATCGTAACATATGCAGTAAGGAAGTGACTTCTTCAACTAGAAACATGCATATCATCAGCTGCTCTCTCACCTTCAGGCGATACAACTCTCAACGGCCCCTTCAAACCTCTCCCATGGGCCATCTAATGGAAGCATTTATGAAGTATGCCAAACATCCTAGGGCATATATTTCCCCTCAGGCCGGAATGATATACAAATTCTTCAACCTGTAAAGGGATCGGACAATCAAAGGACCAGGAATCGTACCTGGATCCTCATCACCACCACGAGTTTCATATCCGGTCTAGCAATATACTCGATATATTGAGCACCACAATAAGCATGCTTCTTGCGAAAAATGAATCTCCTCTCGCATAACTGCCGTGGTTCTTTGTGTGGTCTTATCGTGGTGGCAGACTGAGAATGCCTCTTCTCAGATAGCAGCTGTTGGCGAAATTGGGCACAGGAAATCAGTAAACCCAAAGAAGATAGGGGACGATTTTTTTGCAGTTTTAGAGTAAACGAGTGCTGTTTTTGACGCCACTGCCGCCATTACAAGTATCGATGTTCAAAGTTTCCATATGTGACCATGTCGGATTCCTTCTGACCGAAGCAAGGCAGGTGTTTACATTACTAAATTGTGTAAGTGCAGGGGGGCCGGATACTATTGCAAGTACCATTTACCCATTGGTAAGGCCTTGTGAGAACTTCTAGTTCATATCTGACATGGAGAAACTTCGTTGCTGATATCGGGAAAGGTCGAAAACGTGCTGGCATTTTATTTCCACACAGCAGCTTCGGTCAGTGACGAGCGACCTGTGTTTCCAGTTTCGCCAGCTCCTGTACATTTGGATGGCAGATTCTCAAGGAATCTCGCTGTACTGTATATGCTATTTATTGTAACCCCTAGCGAAGAATGGGTCACGTTTTGGTCATGTGCTATGAGTGCGCTACCTACCTATCTACCTAGAATGCAAACTCAAGGCTGCTGTAATTGTATATTTCTGGGACTCATGCGGGTATCTCGATAATGACTAGGAGTAACTGGTTGAGGAGGCTGCGGTCGGCAGATCAGATATCTAGACCGCCGTCGAGGTTGTTCGGCTCTCGCTTCTCAATTTTCGCTTCTCTTTGCAGCGGCCTGTGATATTATGTACGTTCCATGCCTATGTGAACAGTATAATTAAGTCAGTTCGAGAAGTATCAGAGACCCTTTATGTCGTGTAACGGTAACTTTGATGTGTCCATTTGTCACGTGAATCCTCCTCCCTGCAAGATCCCGAAATGTGTTAGCATCAGCGATTGTAATTAGCAACCCCTTACTTTACAACAAGACAACGAATAGATAACTTCCAGTACATTTCTCCTTCCTTCTTCGACTTTACAGCTCCTCGCTCTTTCATATCAGTCGCAAGATTCTGCCTTATACCTACTATGCGTCATCAGTCCACTTTTAATAACTTCAGTAACCGGCTATGACTCGGCCCATGGGTAAACCTGAAGGCAGACCGTAAGTCTTACTAATACAAGCGTAGTTAAGCGGAGTCCTCAGCAAATAATCCAATGGGCTTCACCGCCCATCAACCGAGAAAACGGTTCATTGGTGTAATGGTTAGCACGTCGGATTCTGATAGGCTACGTCTATAAGTGGCTGACATTTCCGGAGATATTGGTTCGATTCCTATATGAACCTGGCCTAATAGGCTAGGTCTCATGCCCTAGTGCTTTAATATGTTTTTTGGCGAATTTATAGCTGTAGTTTTGAGGTTATGCGGACTTTTGGAGCGTGAGGAATTTTTACCAGCGGAGTTCGGTGAAACCCCGGTCGCCACGTGATAGTACTTGGCATAAATGACATAGTGTCGTCCCTTGGCGGTAGATTTGTTGTTGTGTTTAGTTTTTTTAATGTTTTCGTAGAAGAGAGTCTAGGTAAATAACGTATATTACTAGAGCACTGCGCACATTTTACGGCGATCCACAGGTGTTTTCCGTGATCCATTCGTTGTAAAACTCACTTTTCTATCACTCGTTACCTAAAATCGCTGGCATGTGTAAGGTAGCGTAGACCGTTACTTATTTCTCGGGTATTCTCGCTAGCGAACCGTCCGGCCCCTACGAGCCTCTATAACCCGTATTCCGTTTCAACGCTAGATGAAAGCAAGAATAATTTGGTTAAGGTGCAAGAAAGATAATATAACATAGTCTAAGTGGCAGGTACTTATAAGCTGCGAGTTCAGGGTATGGTGAGGTATTGCTCGGCTAGCCTCAGCTCGCGTGTTATAGCTCTGCCTGGTTTCTCGGAACTTATAGATGTAATTTTAAATAATCCTAGCTGAATTTGTCTTATAAATCACTGAAAAAGTACAAGATAGGGTACATTTATTATATATTCAACTATAGTTAGCCCTAAGGAAGGTAGGTTATTACGAGCTTTATCTTGTTAAATTAAGAAACGTCCTAACTAGCAAAGAGATGGATCTAGACCTCATTCTGCTGTTGTTCTTGTTTGCTCTCCTAGCCGCATAATATGGTTTCAGAAGCCCTCGTTAGTTCAAGGTGCCTGGATAATTGAGCCTTATTATTTCAAATAACTTGAAAATTGCGGTTCGTTATGCCATGCGATTTGGGTAATGAATCACATTATTCCACCGGAAGTGGATAAGTAATAATGTGCTAAAGAATGAGCTGACATTTTTCATACTATCCGTCAGACTTGTAAAAACGACAATCCTTCACAAGCATACTTCTCTGATGAAGACTAATCAGGTACAGCTTCTCAGATCAGGTACGGAGACCCCACTTGGTGAGGCACTGCACGAAAACCTTCATGGGTCATCCTTTCCATTCTGTAGACTTTAAGTCTCGGATGACGAGCGTTTTTAGTTCATCTTCTAAGAGCAGCGAAAGAACCTTTGACAGTGACCCCCGATCCGGATTTTTGAAGTTCAGATCATTTGATTGTGGCTTCTTCTCTCAGGTTCGAAAAGCTCTTGAGAAGGGAACTTGGTTTGAAAATGAAAAGTTCTGATATTATTGTGATGGTAGGAGAATTTTTAACAGCAGATTTTAGTAAAATGTTTGGAGTTCGAATCTTTCTGCTTGTCTACTTGGCTAATTACACCGTCTCAAACAGCGAATGTCATCTTTCAGGGGTACTATGTAGTGAGTTGTCGTTAGCCTTTTCTATTTGTTTACAATATCGAAGATGTGTTCGCTCCTCCGATGTTCTTCCCCCACCGGTCTTTCAAAACGCAGGTAAGCTACAAATAGTGTTTACATTGTTATTGCTTGCTAGTATAACTTCTGTAAGATGAGTGTTGAAGCGGAAGTCAAGACTCCATAAGGGAGTTAGAAAGGGTCACATTGTTAGGTCAATTGAACTATCGACAGCTCGTCGGCTATAATCCGAGGGTAAAAGCTCTCGAAGGCCTTCGATTCCTACCGACGGGAGACTGAGAAAATATAGCAGGTATCTAAAGTTCCTGGTCTTTCGTCGGGGGCTATAAATCGGGGGACGATCATTTATTCCGACAATACTGGCTGATCTAAAATAACGAACAAGACACATGTAATATCCCACGCCATCTCCCATAATACATCTAAGACGAGACGCTTTGCTGCAGCTTGCTTCGATCGCTTAAGAACCGAAGGTATAGCCATGTACGTAGACACCACTCAGAGTATTCTTTATGAAGCCCGAAGCTGCGATCCTTATGTGGCTTACAACGTTCGGCAAATGGAACCATATTCCATGGAATTCCAGGTGGAATATTCCATATGGAATACTTCCAGAGCACCTATAAAATGGAATGGAATCCTTCCATTTACTAGGCTCTGGAATTCTAGGGGTTCCATAGAATTCCGGAGGTTTTTTTAACCAATTAAAATGTAGGACTAAAGAGTATTTTTGAAGTGAATAGGAGGAATATTAGTTGTTTCCTTTTACCTAACACGCTATAGACAAAACAAGCTACAGCTTATTTGGTGGACCGCTTATTTTGTCCACCTACTTAACATATTTTAAAAAGGGCACTATAATATAGGTAGTCTAAAGCCATATAGGAGCTTTCTATTGGTTAACGGGACCGGAGGGACTTTTTTCCGAGTCATGTGATATTCCATCTGGAAATTCCATAAATTCCATGGAATATATACCTCTAGAATGGAGTACTTCCAGCCAAATTCTAAAAGGAATGGAATTATTCCAGAGGGGGTTTCTGGAATGGAAAGGAATTCCAGATGCCGAACGTTGGTGGCTCAACTTGGCACTGTTGCAGATTTGCTCAGACATCAACCTAGGCTTCAAAGTGTAGACAACTTGTGGCTGGGAGCAGAAACCAAGTTCTTGTTTGAATTGGAACAGACCACAGCAATATTCAATCAACTTACTTTACGGAACGGACATGGGCGGATCGGGCACGGAATTACTAAACATTTAATTACAAATAATTATATATATACTTGTAGAACTACTACTCTTGCTATCGAATCCTTACTATTATATTATAGAAGGTAATAATAGCTTATAATGAGAAATAAACGAATTAAAAATATAAGATAGAAATAGAAATATAAAAGTTAATAGAAATCTAATAATAAAGAAAATACCTTTTTATTCCTGCATATATTCTTTATAAAAAGTAATTATACTAACCTTCTAATATAATTAAGATAATAAGATTACTATACCTAAACTATAAGAAGTAAGCGGTAATAGCTTTTTTAAACCCTTTATATAGCTTTATTAAACTATTTTAGTTTTATAATACTCTTAGAATACTTTTATACTATAAGAGAGATATAGAGCAAGTAATAATTACTTACGTCTCTTGTAGGTAATAGTTACTGTAGCTCCTCTAATATAGAAATCTGTGTACTTATAAGAGACTTCTTTATTGTTAAAAGTTTATGATTAAAAGTTAAGTAATTCCGTGCCCGATCCACCTATGTCCGTTCCGTACCCCTTTAGTCTAAAGCCTTTAATCAAGGGTTCTATACCAAAGCATCAAGTTTTCCAAGCTAGGAAAGATTATCGCCAAACTGGTAGGTTAACATTATCACCGGCACTTGGAGCAGAGTGGCGAGAGTATCCTGATTCCTCTAAAAATGATAGACAGTATTGTTCGCTGGCTTAGAGCGCTCTAGCGGATGCTACGCTGTTCCAGGTGCCATTACCCATTAGTAGTGGCAGTAGGGCAATGAGGTAATGGGAACCACGGCCAGTTTAATAAGCTTAGCAAATGATATTCACAGGTATTCCAAACCAATGTTGAATTGCTGGATTGGTATTCCCAATCCACGCAAAAGTGCTCCAAATTAGGCGGATAATTGCCTCTTCTTTGACGAAATTTCCTGGTTGTTCGTTTCGTTATAAAATATGGACAGCCATATAGCCAGAGGAAATGGTTATGCTGGTGGATGGGTAAGAAGAAAATTGCTAGGCAAAGTTGCAGACATTGGGACCAATGAGGGATTTATCAATGAAACATTCGTTCTCTCTCATGGCATCGATTCCCGAACTGAATTCTAGGATCAGAGCAGTCCATTTCAGTGATACCATATCTTTGATGCTTTCCCCACTACCCAAATCCGATGTTGTTGTTCTGATAAACTCAACGGGTCAGGGCGATGTCGCAGATCGGATCAGCCAACTGCTTGTTGGAAGGTTATCGCATAGTACGAAACTAAACGTAATTAAGCCCTACAAAACTGACGAAAGGTCTTCAAAAATATGAAGAATCAGATCTTGGGGTTGGCGGTGTTTTGCTCATGGAAATTGCGGTAGATGAATATTCGCTTAAGCTTCGCTTGTAGGATCACTAGTCACAAATCCTACGTCTTCATTACTACGGGGGTGATGTTTTCTCTTAGTTACTGCCATTAGACGACCATATTGGACGTGGATTTATCCCGAGCCATAGAAACTATCTGATAAGCTTCGAATTAAAATAGAAACAGAGTCCATGGTGTTGTATTGGAAATATGATGGGGACTCTTTGACTGGGCTTCGCCACCCCATTTCATTACGATAAAATATCAAGGAGCGATAATTGTTTCCGCAACATCGATTTCTGTTTCTCTAAACTTTCCATTTTTTAATTAGCGTGAAACAGATTATCAAGTCCTCTGTTCTGAAAAGGTTGTTGAGAGGGTACCCCGCGTTCCCTTGTAAAGGATTCTTCATCAAATTATACCTTTTAGAACATATAAGCCCCTCTCAAGATTGCAGATGCTGGTATGGGCGATTAAACGCTATGTGGCATTCTTAGGCTTTGATCAACAGAATATATCCTCTCAATATGTCTCGTTTACCCCTCCATGACTTGAGAGAGCCTTAATCTCCCTACCTAACGCCTGGAAACTCTTTCGACACAAATGTAAGCTGTTTAAACATACCAACCACTTCTCCAAATTTCAAAAATAAAACTGATATTCTGCATCACCAACAGCGAATGCTACTAGACACCTAATCGGTACTAGCGTACTTAAGTACTATTTGAGAGACCCGAACAGCTAGCTAGCTAGCTACCTCCTCAATACAACAACTTCCTCACCCACATCAACTTCATCCCACGAACGATTTACGTTAATCAAAGATAGCTCTCACTACCACACTACTCATTATCATCGCAAACAGAGGCCTTGGATTCCAATTCGCCCTTCACTATCAAAAGAAGGGCGTCAATGTTCACGGTACTTATCGAACGAAGTCTGCGGATGAAGCAAAGGAGGTATCTTTCCAACCCACAATGTTATCTTCCCCTGCTTATAGCTAGACTCATATCTCTGCCAGCTTCTCGATTCTGGAGCTAGAAATATTCTCCTCGACCTCGGTAACGAAAGCTCGATTAAAGCTACAGCCAAATCCTTTGGCGATCAAGCCCTTGATCTACTCATAAATTGCGCCCATGAATTGCGCCCGTAAGAGGACTCCAAACCGAGCCAGAACTGTACTGACGTTTGATTCTTCTTGATCACAGAGGCGGGAAACGGAAGCCCGAACTAGATGGACACCTTAGAGTTGTTTGTGGTGTGTATAGAGTAACGACCAGGTAGGTATCTTACACTTTGACGTAACATGCAAGACTTACAATAGTAAGATATATATTACTCGAGTATTGATCGGTGATAGATACATACTTTAGCTTCTCGGTAAATCCCACAGTTCGACCATTTGGGAGATATTACCCAGAGGGAGTCTTGTATAATATTACCCAACATCGTCACGTTGTAGTATCAAACATTTTCATGACAAGAAGTTTTCATTCCCTAATTCCAGAGGACAGTTCATTAATTTCCACTGTCTAAATCTGTATATACCAGAAATGCCCATCAGTATACGTTGTATATCTATACTTTTGCATGTTGTGATATCCAATCATCCACCCTTATCCCAATACACTCCAACCATCCAATTCTACAATCCTCACGCCATGCCATCAGCAAACCCAAATCTGCAAATATCCTACATATCTCCCCCCCTCCTTCCCCCCCTTGTTCTACTTCCACGAAATATATACACTCCCCTTTACACAATCTTATACACCTTCTTCGCCAAGAAGAAGCACGTAAACCCAAAAGCCAACAACCCCGCTGTCAAACACCAAAACCACGTTAAATCCCCTTCGTAATCCTGCCCAGGGACCCACACATTCATTCCCCAAAGACCTGTGATGATGTTCATGGGTAGGACGATGGTACCCAAGACTGTGAGTCTACCCAGGACATCGGCGGTTTGCTCTTGGCGCTCATTCATGCGGATGTTGATTTGCGCTAGGTAATTGCCGTGGGAGCGGGCTAGGATTCTGAGGATATAGGGTTAGTATGGGTTGTTCAGGGAAGAAAGGAGGTAGGAGGGAGAACATACTTTTCGTAATGTGACAGGTTACCAGTCATGGTTACGATGTGGTCCTGGATATCACCAAGATACAAACCGATTTCGCTGCGTGGTGCGACTTCCCAATGTTCGTTACATCTCTTGGCAAAGCCCTTGATGACATCCGCCTTGTTACCCAGCAATCGATATAAACCCATGACTTTCTTTCGACAATCTCCAACTCTCCTCAACATATCGCCACCACTCTCACCAGATGTTCCATCACCATCCCCTTGTTTCTCATCTTTATTCAGCTTCCCATCCGGATTTTGGGAATGAAGTTGTAAGATGGCATCATCAATATCATCAACTTCATCCTCAATATTCTGAATCAAGGGGGCGAAAACATCCGTAATATCGTCAATGATGGCGTAAGAGATCCAATCAGAAGATAGTATAAGATAATCCTTTAATTGTCGAATTCGTCTTCGTACATTCGCGGGATGTGGCGTCAAGGAGAAATGGAAGCTGATGACCCCTTCCCGGAATACGACGACATACATATTTACGGGCTCCAAGAAATCCTCATTATTCATATCTTGTTCAAATGATCGGTAGTTGACAAAATAGTAGTTGCCAAAGAGCTCAACCTTTTCTCGAGCTTCTTGCATCATGATATCTTCTGCCGTGAGCGGATGGATTCCAAAAGTTTTGCAAAGAACCTTCATTTCGGCTTCTGTAGGAGACAGTACATCCAGCCACCAGGTCGGGCGATCGCCATATCGCTTCGGCTTTCCTTTTTCCTGAGCAGGTGATTTTCGCCCACCATTGGGAGTGGCTTCGCCAGATGTAGCAGCTTTCGATTCTGTATCAGCAAGTGAGACTGAACCACCACGTCGTAGGTCGGACTTTTGTTCCTGTATTGAGCCCTGTCGTGTAGGAGCTCGAGATCCGCCATCGAAAGCACCCATACCGGATACATGTCTGATTTGTGATGTCATGTTCCCAGATTTGCGATCAGATTCTTCCTCATCATCCTCGGATTCTGAAGAGTCTTCCAATACCGGTCTATCTGGTATAAATAATTCTTTGAAACTTCCTCCAGGCTGTACTAATTCCGAAATAGTCTGACTGTGAATTGTGCTTTGAAATTCCTCATTGAAATACGTGAATCGATAAGGAGCGTCATCCTCGGCTCGGTGCCATCCTCGATGAATTGGTCGTAATCGACCTCCAATTAATTGTGGCTCGGTAATCTTCTTCGCTCTGCGCTCGTCACTTCGGCCTTCCTTTTCAAATCTGCTCCACTCATCGAGCATAGCCAGGTGTGGCCATTTTGACCTTTTTCGTCTGAGCCCATTTCCATGTCGTGAATTACCGTCCCTCTGTGCCATTTCATCATCCGCCATCTCAGACATTCCCTCAACTGGAAAGCAGACATCTCCTTCGGCTTCAAGGGCGATTGTGCTACGTCTCTCAATTCTGCCTTGTCTCCTGGTGGTTGACCCTGCAATTGAACGATCATCGATCGCGGATTCGCTAAATATATCACGATCATCTCGAGCATTTGATAAGTCAATGAGATCCCCGAAGCTCATGTTCCGATTTGTAGCGCTGAGGGTAGGACTTCCAGGTACTGAAGGGGGATAATTGACATTGTATGAATCACTAAGGGGAAGTCCCAAGGTAGGTCGGTCAAAGGTAGTCTTCTTCCTGCTTCTCGACGAGGATTTGCTGGAAGCTCTTCTGTGTGAGGATTGAAGGTTGTTTCTCGAATTGTTGGCACCGCCGTATGTACATGTAGCCCCTGAGCTCTTGGATTTGGATGACGATGGTATCAGGGGTGCCCGCTCGTCCTCATCGATATCATCTTCTCTATCATTGTTCGAATTCTTTCCCGGCGTAGTAAATGGATTTTGATATTGTGGGCGGTAGGAGGAAGGGGTTTCGTAGATTGGGACTCCAAACGCGCTTGAACCCATCATTGACTGCCTACGAGGTCTGATGTTTTGTTGTTCCCTAGCATAAAGATCAGTGTAATCCACGGAAGCTCAATTGCTCCAACCTACCGGTGATCCAAGAGAGCTTCGCTATCCAAGCTCGTATTGCTATGATTGCGCCCCTGGAGTCTATAGAAACTCGCTTTTGCTACACTCTGCAGATCCTCTCCTGGTCGTGATCGAGAAGCATCTGTCAGTTCGGGTCCCTCTTCGTGCAGGGCGAAAGACTGTCTTCTAGTGCGCTTCTTCTTTCCACCCCGATGATTCCTCTTCTTCTTCGTCAGTGGTTGCGCTTTGTTGGCATCCGGTCGCATCGTCGCATCATTGTCTTGAGATTGAAGCACCGTTGGTTGCGGTCGCCTTTGGGGTGTCTCTGGTCTAGAGGGACCCGTGATGGTTGGTTGGGGTGGTTGAGCTGACATTTTGTGAGATGGTGATATTATAGAGAGGTGGACCTGCGATGGCAATTCCCAAGCCTGTGCCTGTGCCTGTGCCTGGTCTGCGGCACCGAGTCGATGTATTTGTTACAAAGCGAAGAAGATTTCATTTAAATGACGTTTGGGTTTCGCAGTATATGTATGTCAGTAGGTGCAGTGGTGCAGATATATGTTGCGTCGAAAAACGAGTGTGGTGGTAGTGGTAGTGGTGGTGGTGATGCGGTGAATGCAGCGAAGTCACCCTAAACCGACGCCGCGCGAGAGCGATACGAACGGAAAGCAGCTGGACCTTGTCCAACGCCACAAGGGCAACGCAAGGGGACAATATTGATGAAGATATTCGGTACAGAGTATGTGAAGGTGTAGATATTCGAGTTTCAACCAGTCAATGGCGTATACGTGCAGATGAGGAGCAGGGAACAGCTGTGTAGGTAGAAATGGGATGTTGCATTTATGTTCTTATCCACTCCACTGCACCACCACTCTATCACCACCACCGCACTCGAGGATAAGAACTTACGTCACGACGCTTTAGCCTCTAATTGGTCAGTGCTGTCGCGTGCGTTGATGCCCCTTTCGGCAACATGTGGGGTAAAGCATCTTACTTACCTAACTTAGGCAGGTAAATAAGGATTTAGAAGAGCATAAAACACCAGTTGGTGCTGAATATTACATGAAAAAGTCTTTCCTTCGTCAAATTAGACCATACCGTGGTCGTGGAATGGTTTTGATGTCATAAAATAATGTCTCGTTATTCAGACTGCTGCTGGCCATCGGCCCCTTACCACAGACAACCTTAGCGAAGTACTGTACCGAGCAATCGAACCGAGTCCAGAACCAGAAATTTCGTATCCTCAACAGAAGTGTATTAAATCCCACCTATCATCAGAAGCAATTATGACGCAAATATTTTACTGTTGAGCCCTCGCCGGAGATTACTCTCTTTCACTCGTAGTCTTCGTACATTACGTAAATCAGGACGCCATGTGGAGTGACAAACTCTGCCCCAAAAGAATTGGGTAAGAACCTTATATTCCAAAGTCAGATTATATCACTTTGTATTGCACGTTGTGGGTTGTATGGTAAAGAACAGCCTTGCGGATATAGTGCCGCCTCGGGAAGATTGTAGGTTTCTGTTTAAACTTCTTGTGGACCTCGTGTCGCCGAGAAAGTGGAAGTTATATTTAAGCCGCCGAAACGATCTTTCTGGCTAGATGAGGTGATTTATTGACTGAATTCCAATTGACGAGAACGATTGATCTCGGCCTGCCGTGAGATTGGATATTATATACTCACCTCTTGGTAATCTCCTCGTTAGTTCGTTAATAGTCACTATTAGATCTTTCACGTGTGATTTCTATCTCCGGGTGTTTGCTGCTGGAACGATATCTAGAATGTACCATGCATGTAAGTGTTAGGACGTAATGTTGATTAGATTATTCACAAGGAGAGAAGTGGAGAGCTTCCGCGGTGTAACTAATTAAGTATTTACAAATACCACTATTCACTTAAGCGGGTATTATAACGTGTAAAACCATTCACGATAAAAGTCGAAATCAAAGCTTTATAGTAAGCGATCACTTCACATTATCGGCTCAAGGTTCTAAACATAGGGTTTAGACTAGACATTCGAGGGACTACTATAACCGTAATGTAAACTATTAGATAGTATAATACCTAGTACTCTCTTATTTTAATTTCTAATATCTTCCTAATACTCGCAAAGCTATATTTAAGAAATTACTTAGTATAATACCATCTATATCTACCTAGATCTTCTTACTTATCGAATTAGAGTAGAAGTAGCGCGCGTAATAGTAGACTCTATATAGGTATCTATTAATAAATTAGACTCCGCGGAATTAGGTCTTCTTTTCTTCCTATACGCGATAGTATTTTTCGGTTTATTATTTTTCACTTTATAGAACTCTTAGCTTAGGAAACTTATATAGGCTATTATAAATCCTTCATATTTATTCTTTAATAATTTCTTATCGCTGTAATATCCGAGTAAATATTCTCGGTAGTACGAACTACCTAACTAGGCTAGTGTCACGAATCACGTGTTCACGTGATACTTGTCATAATAAGAGGCGCAACCCTCGACAGGCACATTCAGATTTCTTATAGCAAAT